ACTATACTATACTATACTATTCTGTACTATACTATACTATACTGTACTATACTATACTATACTATTGATTTTAAATTGCTATTGTAGAATATTTTAATACTACAATAACAATTTAAAATAAAATATTCATCTCGTTAGTCTCTGTGACAGTGAGTAATGACTTTGCAGAGAAATTTGAAATCTCTTCCACTACTAACATAACTCTTTGAAGAGAAGTGTGAGGAAGTCTTAATATATGGGCTGCATATACCTTATAATCTCACATCACGCTACCAGCTAAGTTAGACAACACTTTGTGTGTGTGTGCAAGAACAATAAGTAGGAAACATCATTATAGCATTTTTAATAGGACTTTCCAAAAAATAAAAATAATATGTATTTGAATAGTTCCATAAATAATTCTGGTGCATTCTTGATAGAAATATTACAGAGCACCAAAAAGGAATTGCTTACTTCATCAACAGTGCATCCATCAGAACTCTAGGTGGAAATAAATGCCATGCCTTAATTGGGTAATATGAGTTCAGGACAGGAAAGAAAGTACTTACAAAGTAGGGCATATGAGCATAGTAAGGCCAATGAGAGCATAGATTAACTTTTCTTTACAATAGAGGGGACTGAGGGTGAAAATAATTGCTGACACTGAATGTGGGCAACTGTGAGCAGAGAACCTTCTCACTGTGCTTGTGGCTTCTAACCTTGGAGATGAGTTACCCCAAGGAAACTAGACAGGAGGAGGAGGTAAGATAAATTGTCCTACCTCACCCCTTCCTCCAGTTATCTGTCCTAAATATCACAGCCTTTCCTCAAGGGTGAAAAGATAAGATACATTCGTCCAGTGATTCCAGTGAGCAGAGAAGATATGTGGAGAGAAGGTGAGAAGAAAATCATGGCTCAGAACAATTCCAGGGCAGGAGGATCCTGGCAGCCAAGTGAAATGCACTTCCAATGGGTCATCAGCTGTGTCCTCAGGATGATGATTTCAGGTAGGCCAGGACTCAAGAGCACTGACCCTTAAGATCATCTGTGCCAAGGGCCCTGTGAGCTTTGTTGGGGCAGACTTGGCTGCAATAAAAGTCTGGCTGGAACTCACTGAAAAGAAAAGGAGTGGGTGTTGGAAAGAGACCACAGAGAACAAACTTTGGAGGGGTGTTCATTCACTGAGCAAAAGGGCTAGATAAGAATTATCAAAATATGTCACAGGGATTTTTTTGATCCCTGCAAAAGAAAGTATTTAGCAATCTCTTTGTAGTTGGTTTTTGAAAACTAGAAACAATTTACACTTTTCCTTCTTTTGTTTTAGTCAGGTATTTATTGTCTTTCCAGAGTTGGATGAGATACAGTATATATATATATATATATATATATATATATATATATATATATAACATTTTAATGATGCTGGATATTAAAAACATAAAGTTGATAATTAATTTCCTGGATAGTGATGAGGCTTTTATTTTGGAAGCTCTGTGCTTTAAGATTTTGCTGCAGTATGAAAGGAGGTGGTTTAAAAAAAAATCACTGTAAGAAATTCAATAGACATTAAATATAAATTAAAGATTGAATTTTGAAATGATTAGCACTGTATGTTCTTTTACTAGTAACATTGTATTCTTTCCCCACTTCTTCATGTAGGCATTATCTTCCATGTGCCTGTAAAATATTAAAATATTAAAGTAGTCTAAAGAAATGAAACTACTAAATGCGTATTCTTTTTACTGTGATACCAATAAAGTTTAACAATGTCACCTGGATATTGCTGTCAAAGGAAATAGGGGACCTGACTAGTCATCCTAGGGAGGACCACAGTCTTGTGCAAGTCACATTAATCTTTGTTTGTACACACTTCCTGAATTTTCATGTAAAAGACTTGTCAAATGTTTGCTACCCATGGAAAGATTCTAAATGAAACATGGTTTTTTCTATTTTAAACATATATACCTATTGATGCATATGTATGTATGTATGTATGTATGTATATACATAAATGTATAGACATAAACACTGGTATGCCCATAAATTTACGTACCTTGGGTATATGTGAAGATGTGCATAAGTATGTGATGTATTTCTTGGGAGCATGGTTTTCCAAATAAGACTTAGTGACTCTCTCTCAAGTAAGCTAATCTAGATCTTCACAAAACATCGAGTTTCCCTGATGGATATACCCAGTACAAGAAACTTGGGGTTACTCAAAAGATTACTTGAACTTAACATAGACTTCAAGTAGTATCACAGCTAGTAACTTAAGATGAAATGTGAAAGCAAATAGTGATTCATGTTGTTGGTTGAAAAGGAAGCATTGTCAAAAAGAACAGTTGCAGACATTTAAAGAAGGGAGTTCAGTTTGTGTGGGACATAAGAGTGGGTCTGTAGAGATGAAGTAGCCTTTAACTTGTGTCTTAAAGGACTGTCATTTTGTGGACATTTAAAGATCAGTTGCTGGGAAGGAGATCTTGAACCTTGGAGCAGGAGGATGTGAATTCCTGTGGGAGAGGTTAAATTGAAGAAATATTGTAGATTTGGAGCATAGTTAACTCCTCCACCTTATTATTTGATGATGTTCTCCAGCTTCATCATTTAATTGCTGTTACTAGCAATTGAGCATGAGTACTCAGGATGGGCTGGGGATATAGCTCGGTTGGTATAATACCTTCTGAAAATGCAGGAGATCCTGTGTTCAACCCTCAGCACTGCATAAAAACACATGTAATGATGTATCATAATCCTAGAATTCAGGAGGTGGTGGCAGTGGGTCAGAAGTTCAAGTTTGTCCTTGGCTAAGTACTTAGTGTCTCAGGTAGGTATGTTTTAAATAAAGCGCTTGTTGAGATATTTACTTTAACTTAAGCAAATGGCATATGAATTGACATCATTATTAATTAGCATATCATCACATGGGATTACTTATATCTGATATATTGTATATATAACATGATATGCCATTTCTGAAAATTCTCCTGGCCTACCTTCTCCATCCCCAATCCCTTATCTCAGACATGACTTTCATGAAGTCTTTCAGGTGTAACATTTAGACAACATTCATATCCGAGAAGAATCTATATTGCTTCAGGGTGGCTCAGTGGTCTAAGGAGCTATGTTCTGTACCTGCATTGCTCTGTCTCTGCATTCATTGACATAAAGAAGAATATCAGTTTCTATAAATTAGTCTCCTGCCCATTCATATTCTGCCCCTCCTTCCAATATTAGTGATTTCAAATTATTTTTTCTTAGTGAACCTGTTAACACTTTTATTCAAATCTCTTTTTTATTAAATAATAAATAAAACAAAATGAAAAAGCATGCAATATATGTAAGAGATAGTATAGCCTTTATTATCCTTATGTAGGGGGTATGTTATACAAGTGAGTGTCCACTTGTGTAAGTGTGTACACAAACCCATGCCCCAGCATACATGTACAGGGCAACAGACAACATCAGGTGTATCAGTCCTTATATTACACCTTGTTTGGGACAGGCTCTCTATTGTTCACAGCTATTCCACCAAGCTTGCAGGCCCATAAGCATCTAAGGACTCTCCTGTCTGCATATCCCATCTCACCACAGGAGCCCTGGGATTGCAGATATGCACTGTTGGGTCTGGCTTTATGAGGCTTCTGGGGATCTGAGCTCTGAGTTCAGGTCATCTTCCTTGCATGGAAAATTCTTTATCAAGACACCATGTCATCTTCCTCTCCCAGTGTAACTTTTTGTTTCTTATTTTGCTGTGTTAAGGACAGTGCCCAGAACCTTTACACAGATTTGAGCACTTTATCACTGAGTTGTATCCCCTGCCTGGCTTGTCTTTCTTTCTTTGAGTGGGACCGCACTATGTAGCTCAGGTTGGCATTGAACTTGCAATCTTCTTGCCTCAGTTTCCCAAGTACAGGAATACAGGCATGCACCACCATGCTCAGATAGTATGACTTTTGACATTAATTACACTCATCACCAAGCCCACTCCCATCTAACCTCTTCACAGACTATCACTCTATGTTTATTTTTATTTTTCTTGGTTTATACTCCTAAGACATATTTATAACTTTAAATAATATATATTCTCCTTCTCCATGATTTTAAACTTGAGGTACATAAGCTTACAATGAAAGTGGTTTTCTGCAGCTCACTCTTCCTGCTCAGTTTTCATATGTGAGATGTATACAGGTGGTTATATGTTGCTATAATTCTGTCATTTTACTTTCAGAAGAGAATTTTTATATAAAAAACAATTTATATGCCCATCCCGCTGTCCATACACATTTGCATTAATTCTAGTATATCCACAAAAGTGAGTAGCACTGCAGTGTATATTATTGAGCATATTTTCTTATGCATGAGAATTTCACTAGTGCAAAGGCAGGGGGTATTTCTCTAAAGAGCCAGAATTTAATACCTTGTGCTTTCCAGGCTACACAGTCTATGTCACATGCTCTTTGTTGTTTTTGTCACCACCTGTAAGTGTGACAAATATCCCAAGCTATGACTAACATAAATACCTTCCGTGGACTAGTTTTGACTCAGGCCATCACTGAGAGGCCTCTGCTCTATGGTAATAACTGTGAGTTATTTTAGAATGATTCACACAGTAAGTTAGACACTGTATATGGCAATCCATCCCCACATATATGCAAAAAATACAAAAGTGATTCATGGCATTATTTCTACACTTTTCCTCCATGTTGTGACTCTTCTGTGCCTTAAGATTTTTAAGGAAGTTTTACAGTCAGCTCTTAGAGGTTGACCTTCAATGGTTCCTGATCTGGCCACTCTTCTTTACCATGTAAAGATAATGTTTCTCCAAAGTGGAGTTAATCTACTCTCCCTCCTGAAGTGCATGAGTTCTTTCATACATGTAATTCTGTCTGAATCATATACTACAACTCTTTGCTAGAAAGTATTAGATCTGATTTTGAAAAGAAAAACTTTAGTTTTGGTAGCATAAACATCACCCAGAGGCTGTCTCAACTGTCTTTAAGTACACGGTTGAGTGGCATGAGGCTCACTGAATTATTTTGCAATTCTCACTCCCAACCATCTCTAGAAATCATCCTGGTAAAAGTGAAAAACCGTATAGGTTTAAACAATGATTTACCCCTCTCCCTCCTGGCAGCCCCTGGCAATCATCCTCCTACTTTCAATCTGCATAAATTTGATTACTCTAGGGACATCTCACAGGAAGAATCATGCAATGTAACAATTCATTCAGCATACTGTCCTTGAGGTCTCCCCATTGGAATAATGTAAGTTTTTAATTATAATTTTTCCAAATTTTGATGACAATGGTCATATTGTGTTTTTTACTGTTAATAATTTCCTTTCAGTGGTTTTGTTTTCCTATTCACCCCTCCCTCCAACTAACTTCTGCCCTCCCTTATGTTGCTTTCCTCCTATTCTTCTCTTCTTTCATTTGATTTATTTATATAGTTTGTATTTTTATCTTTTAAAAGCATATTTACACTGCAAATAGTGTTTCTGAGCTGCAGCTACCAATGGGTTATGATGTTTTGCAACTTGAATGAAAATGTCATGGACTTGAGACACCTCAGATTTCAACTTGAATATCTTGGAGCTTCCACCTTCTTAAGGAGGCAAGTCTGATTTTCTGACATCCAGAGTGGGGTCAAGACACCATTCTCTTCCCTTTCTAGCTCTCTATGGGTTCTTGGAAGACAATACCTTTGGTTTAAGGAAGCTTGGATGCTAGTATGACTGAACCTGCAGAGTCCCTGACCTGCACAAAACCAATTCCACATTCTCTCATTCTGTATTGATTTCTATTTAAACATCTTTAAAGTTATAAAAGCATCAGATACCCACAAAGCCTAGAATCACCTGCCCTAAACCCTTTCCGAATGCCTTTTAATATTCCCATTTTTCTTAGCCCTGTTTTCCTATGCTTTGCCAGCTTCATTGATTATAGTCAAATTTACCTATTTTTCCTTAATTTTAATTTGTGTATTTATTACATGCATGCTGTGTATAATGTTTAAGTCAGGTTAAAATTATATAACTTTATTAGTATCCAGGCCTGCACCTTTAGGCCTTATCTCATAGCCTGAAGCAGGCTATGCCTTCCTGTATCTCTCTCTCTTGGATGCAAGTTTAAAAAGCCCTCTGTGTTGTGACTTGACAGCTCTTAATTTAGTGGTTCCCAACCTTCCTAATGCTGTGACTCTTTAATACAGTCCTCATGTTGTTTTGACCCCCAACCATAAAATTATTTTTGTTGCTACTTCATAATGGTAGATTTGCTACTGTTATGAATCATAATGTAAAATATCTGATATATCCAATGTTTTTAGGCAACCCCTGCCAAAGGGTCTTTTGACCTCAGGTTGAGAATCACTGTGTTAATTTATGATATTTGACTTCTCCATGCTCTCTGTAACATACACTATGTTGAACTCAATCATGTAATGGGAAACTTCCTACCACCCTAGAAGGTTATTAAGCTCAGACCTTTCCTGTGTTCTAGGGATAGGTCCCTGACTACTAAGGGTGTCTGCTCTGGGATTCAGTCCAGAGATGAAGGTGGCTCTCTGAAGAAATGTATCTGGCATTTCCTCTTAAGGCAGCTGTCTCTCACTCCTCCTGTCTCTCTTTAATTAACACAATTAATGAAACTCCTATTAAGGTTGGAAAGGGAAGTCACGCCTTCCCTGTAAGGCTCCAACATATTTAGAACTCCATATATTGCATTGTTTTTGTCTAATGCTCTGTTTCCCATATCTAGGTCCCATCATGGCTTTGAAGCCCTCTGACTCTAATAAACCTCATTTCTGAAGGAAATCCACGTTAGCTTCATTTGCAGAACACTGCTCTGTTTTGCTTCCGATATTTAACAGTCTCCTCAAGCACTTACAATTTCTTTATGATGAGATCTTTTGAAATCTACTCTTCAGCTTATCAAAACATTCAGCACATAATTGTCATCTGTAGTCACTGTGCTATGTAATAGTATACCACAACTTAATAAATTATCTTATAGTACAAGTCAGCCTTATAGATAGATAGTTTGCCGCTATCAGATGTCTGTCTTCACTGTGGTTTTGGTTCTAAGATTTCATATTTTCTTGCCAACATATTGAGGCACATAAAGATGTTTTATTCATCATATTTAGTAATCTTGAATGGATTATTCATCAGATTACCAATACTGATGTAATGAAAGACATAATTTAGCTCATAGGTCTTGCCTAGCTTACATAAACTATCTTGACTCAGACTACATAAGAAATGTTAAGCCCCTAACCTTTCATTTGATGAATCTCACTCATCAGCCAACTGCAGAAGTATTATACTTTGAAGTATTAAAAGTAAAATATTGTCTATTATCATTGAAATCTTACATTTCATTATGGTTTTAGCACTATGCATTACTGAAGCTGGTAAGTTGTTTAAAAAAAGTAGACATGCATTATTTTGTTAATTTTTCCTGAAGAAATGCAAGCAACTATTTAAATGCCCAGATTGAGACCAATGACAGAGATTGAGCTTGTTGAGGTCAATGAATTCATTAGGTGGTCTTACAGATAGTTGAGGGGTTACTTACAGGGGTGTTAGTAATCCCACTCATCATGAATTTTGACCACATGGAAGATGCATTATAGATTCCTTCTTTCAATCAACATTTCTTTTATTCTCCATTATCTCCCATGATAACTTTCAGTTGGGGGAAGGGATAATAGCCAGAATTTCAAGCAGGGTCCTTAAATTCTCCAGGAAGGTGAGTAGCTCCCATAGATCTGACTATCACTGTATTTTTTCTGTCCTTGTCCTGGCTATTGCAGAGCTCAAAAATATCTTGTTATGACCAAAGAAGAAAGTCACACATAACATATGTATGCATCCACATGACCAACCATCTCATCATTATTTGAATATTGCATCTTTGAAATTATACTACTTGCTAAAATTTTGTCTATGATGTCAGTCAGTCAGCATTCAATATTTTCCAAACTTTCTTAATCATTTATGGACATGTGAAGGGGTTCAAAAGAGTGCTTTTTTCCCCTATATACATATTCCAAGCCACGGCTGAACAAGATAACTCTTAGCCTTATGTTTTAACTCTCATTAATCCACCTTTTTTGTTTAAAGGCATGTCTTTCACATTTTTGTGCCCTCAAGTACAGTGTTAATTAAAGTGCTGTCTGCTCTTTCTGAGTAGAAGAAAATGATGTGTCTTTGAGAGAAAATGCTCTGTCAGGTATGCTTCACTTAGGTAAGCTTCAGGCTGACACATCAGTGCCATTGCTTGTGAGTTCAGTGTTAATGAATCAACAATATCATACCTCCTGAAAGAAAAAGAGGGAAATTGAGTTTCCTCATGCTGACCAGGAGATACAAGGAAATCAAAGCCTTCTCTTAGGGTTCTTAGTCTCATTAGTAAGAGAATTTAAGAACAGACTCAAACAGAAGCTAGAGGACAATTGTATTAGTGTTTACAAGAAAAGCCTAGGGCAGGGGAAGCACAAGCCCAGCAGTTGCTCATGGGAAGGAAATGGAGAAGAGCAGGAGAAACAGCCAGTCCATTTGGGTTACAGGAACACAGGGGTCAGCCACACGGAGGTAGGAAGCCTGTGGCAAGGAGGAAGGGAAACTCTAGAGGAAGAATGAAGACCATAGGAAAATGATCTTTTATTTTTCTCTCTCTCTCTCTCTCATACAGGTCTCACCCTATACTTCAGGCTGGCCTTAGAGTTGCATCACTCTTTCTGCCTCAGCCTCCACAGGGATGGAATTACTGGCATGAGCCACCACACCTACCCATCTTCTTTTTCCTTTGGGAATATCTTTTAGCTCTACATCCTGGATATTGTTTTTAGTTTCTTTTCCAAGTCTTCTACAGACTTTTCTTTGGTTGTCTTTGTTTGCATTTTATGTTTTTAAGATGTTTTCATCTTTCTTCATCCTGTCTTGTTGATACAGTAGTCATTGGAAATATGCTATAATACACAAACAGCCATTGCCATACATATAGATTTAAGAGAATGCATATTCTGCTCTTATATACTATGTTAGAACATGTGGACAAAAAAAATATACTATGTTAGAACATGAACCGGGTGGGCATGCCCACCTGCTCCTCAAATTGCAACGGAAAGTGAATTTTACTTTGGATTGCTAATTACTACACAGCTACTTTTACCGGATGGAGAAAGGTGTGTAACATGCTTTATCCTTGTTTTTTTTAAAAAAAATCTGAGCCAGGTGGTGGTGGCACATGCCTTTAATCCCAGCACTCGGGAGGTAGAGGCAGGCGGATCTTTGTGAGTTCAAGGCCAGCCTGGTCTACTGAGGGAGATCCAGGAAAGGCACAAAGCTACACAGAGAAATCCTGTCTCAACCCCCGCCAAAAAAAAACCCTCTGAAAATGACTTAAGTGTAGCAGGCAAAAAGTAGTTACCTTCTTATTCTCTTATTTATCAGCACAATTCCCTAGAAGGAAAATTGGATCTTCTCAGCCATAAATCATCTTTCATTCTTCCCTTGCTTTCTTTCTTTTTAATTAATTGCTTCCTTTTTATTTTAGCATTTTAAAACTCTTTTCAAACTGGGATGAAATGTTACAAGAACAGTGCAATGAATGCCTGCATGGGAGTCCAGTCTGCAGATTCTTGAGTAAGTTTCCATGTTGCTTTCCAAAGTGACAATGCTACTTTATATTCCCAACAGCAACATGCAAGAGTTCTGTCCTAGCTGGAACTTATTTTTCGTCAGTTTGATAAAGGCCATTCTAGCAGGTGTGGGTGATATTTTATTGTGGTTTTGATTTGCATTACTCTAACGATTAATGATGCTGAGCATGTTTTCATTTAGCTTGTGGTCATTGGTATGTCTTCCTTAGAGAAATATCTGTCAGGCCCAGTGCCCATTTTTTAATCAGATTATTTGTTTTCTTGCTGTTGAGCTGTTTGTGTTCCTTATGCATTTTGTCTATTAATACTTTGTCAGATAAATGATTTCTAAGTATTTTCTTTCATCCTGCAGAAGGGAATATTTGCAAGTTATATACTTTTATTCATTCTCTCCATTTATTTCCTTGATCATGATTATCAACACAAAATCAATTTTAATACCAAAGGAGAATAGAGATATTTTTACTAGAGCCAAATATGAGTGACCATGGCATGGGGACACAGATTCAATCTACCATAAATACCATGTTCAGATATAACAACAGATGTATGAGTTTCTTATAGTCACAGAACAAAAGAAAGTTAGTAAGTCAAGGTCCTTTTCAAATAAACTGTTGAGAAAATTCTAGAAGATGGAGAAATATCTTCTGTGTCTCAAATCTGATGACGATTAGTTTTTGGGTTGTCAGAAGCCTGTGGTTTGTTAATATATCTCCCTATGGTTTTATCTGATAGTCACAAGGATATGAAGTCAGACACAGATAGTCAGTGAGTGGATGGTATCATATCTGAACAGTACTGGAATCATTCCAAGGGTCTGCTGAATCTTTAATGTAGGTGTGGCTCTTTTTTTTCTGAAAATTTCAGGTCACAGGATTTAGTAACCCCATTTCCAGCTATACAGTCGAAGGAAATGAAATCAGTACGTTGAAGATATATCTGCATGCCCACGTTCATTGCAGAATTATTAAGATGAGTAGCTAAGGTAGAGTTAACCTAAATGTGCATCAATAGATGAGTAGAAGGAATGGCAGGTAGTGGTTAGAGCCAAGGTGTAAACAGAAAAGGGTAAACAGGATTTGAGACCTATTGAAAATCATGTGGCTATATTCACTAATAAAGCACATTTCAAAACAAGAATAAACTTAAAAAATTTTCACCAGAAAAGCGATAGTTACACAATGTGATGGATATCTGAGCTTCCATTTCATGTTGAATAAACATATCAAAATACATTATACCCATGAATGTATAGTTATGAGTTGTCAATCAAAAGTAATATCAACAAGAATAATAAAAATGTTAAATAGACAGGGAAAAATATCCAAGATACATTGCTAAATTAAAAAGGCAGTTTCAGGAGACCATATGAAATATGGCATTATGTTTAAAAAATCAATATGTGTCAAAATCCATCGACCACTAGGATCTGTGCCTTGTAACAGTGGTTTTATATAAATATGAGGTAATACACTTAAAATGAATGTGTGTATGTATGCACACATTGGTCTGTACTAATATGCTAGGGTTCACGACAGAATGCCACAGACTAGGTGAGTGCACCATAGACTATGGTTACTGACTGTCTTAGTTACTGTTCTATTGCTATGAAGAGACACCATTTCCAAGGCTGCTTGTTAACAAAAGCATTTAACTGGGGGCTCGCCTATAGTTGCTGAGGGCTAGTCCATGATTATCATGCCAGCGAGCATGGTGGCAGGCAGGCTGGCGTGGTGCTAGAGCCATGGCTGAGAGCACACATCTAATCTACAAGTTGCAGTAAGAGAACACCACTGGTCCTGGCATGGGCTTTTGAAACCTCAAAGCTCCTCCAATGACATACCTCCTCTAACAAGGCTGCACCTCCTAATCCTTCCTAAACAGTCCACCAACTGTGACCCAAACCTCTAAATACAGGAGCCTATGGCGGCAGTCTCATTCAAACCTTCACACTGGCGGTTCTGGAGATCAATGTAGATCGATGTAGATAGGGTTACTTTCCTGAGTTCCCCTCTTTCCCTTGTAGTGGCCCCCACCTAAATGTGTCCTTCCCCTGCTTTTCTGTTTTGTGCCCAGTTCCCTGGTGATTTTTCAATCATCCAAATGTCTTATTTTTATAAGGATGCTAGTCAGACTTCTTCAGGCTCCATCACCCAAACTCTCTTAAAAGTCCTGTCACTGTGTATACAGAAGTTGCCCTTATTTACCCTTCCATTTTTCATTATTACCCACACTCTAAAAATATTAAATGGAAATTTCTAGAAAAAACAGTGAGGGAGTTTTAAGTTGTTAAGTAGGGTAATGATGTCTTGTTCTGTTCTGCTCTGTCTTTTCTTGAACACACACTGTCTCTTTATCCAGTGTTTCCATACTGGGTACCGAACCTAGTCCTTAGTTATGGAAGTAGTATCCTCAGTTATTAGATCCACTATTGTAATTGTGTAGTGTCTGTTCAAATGACCTTTATTTTACTTAATAGCGGGCTCAAAGCATCAGAATCTCACACTGGTAGCTCAGATATGCTAAAGAAAAGCCATAAAGTGCTTCCTTTAAGAGAAAAGGTAAGATACTTTGAAGGAGACAGCACACTCATATGCATTTTATTATAATTGTTGTATTTGCTATAATTATTTTATTTTATTACTTACAGTTGTCAACTTCTTACTTATAGGTATGTATGCATAAGAAAAATACTATAAACAGAGATTATGAGAACTGCAATTTTAAGCATCCCTGGGGATTTTGGAACTAAGTTCTTCAGATAATAAAGGACCATACATATACTAGGAGTTAGAAATTGACAATACAGTTTAGAGGAGACATACATTTCAGTTTAAAACACTCAGTTTCCCCAGTGTTAATATCCTGGCACATTGATCTTATTGCTCCTTCTTCTTACACATATTGTTGTATTTTTCCTCATCACTGGGAAGAAAGTTTCAGACACGTGTCTTATTACCTGTTAATTAGTATGCCAATGTGCATATGCTAAAATAAGTAAATGCTCCCAGAAAATGACAGTATAACCATCAAAATCAGAAATCAATACTGAGATTAATATTGTAGTCTAATTCAAAGAGAAATAAAATTTTCTGTTCATCTTCAAATATCTTCTGAGCATTGGTAAATCTATTTAAAATCCTATACAGTCTTTAGTTGTCAGATTTCTTTGACAGCCTTCAGCCTGAAAAAATAATGTCTTTCATCTTTTGCTTGTCTTCTTGAGTGGATACTTTTGAATAGTACAGGACAGTTGTTCTTAGAAAGTCCCCCAATGTAGGATTCTGTGATGGTCCTCAGGATTTGATCTGGATGAGACAACTTGAGCAGGAATTCCACAATCATGAGCTCTGTCCTCTTGTGCACCACAGTAGAAGATACACAGAGACAATCTGTCTGCTTAGTGATGTTACTAAATTCTACCATGTGTGAACAATAGCATCTGCCAGATTTTCCACTCCAAGGCAAATCAGGAAGAATTTTTATATATAAACTAATTTTACTGAGTGGACAATGTATCTAGTGGTAGACATTTTTCCTGCCTTGTTTCATTATTTATTTAGCCAATGTGACTCAAACATTCCTGTTCTACTTAAGGTACTACAGTCTGTTGCTCTCATTGTTCATTCTGAAGTTCTTGATTTTAAACAACTCCCTGTCCTTTTAGCATGTCTGCTTTGTTCCACTGGACAAATGCTTCTGTAACACATCCCATTTGTCTCATTGCCCAGATAAAGATGGATAGAGAAGAAAGACACGTAGCAGGAAATGAGGCCCAAATGTTTCATGCAGCATGAGCTCTATCATTTATCTTTTCCTCACTATACCCTGTCCCTGTTGCCCAGTCCTATGAGTGGAGAGCCAGGACCAGGTCCAGACTTGACCTGAAAGAACCAGCTTCACAAACAGTGTATTTTCTCCTAAGATTCCGTATTTCCACTCTCATTGAAAACCTTTGGCTCCTTATTTTCTAATGATATTTCTCATTTTCTTCCTACACTTCGCTTTCACTCCTTACTGAAAGACTGAAACACTACTATTGAAACTTAGTATTGTTATTGGTAAACAAAATCATAATTTCATCTTTCCACACAGTGTTTTATAACTGCTTACCTCACATTCTGATAAAGGAAAACTAAGAAGTATTTCCCTCTAATTGAAAAAAAAAGAAACTAAATGTATTTATCAATATTTATGAGTTCATAGGTAATCAGATGATCCATGTAGGAGCTCTTAGGCATTTGCCCATTTATTTGAATGAAAGGTCAGTTCCTGTTTCCCATTTTAAGATTATATGCCAGTATGAGGCTTGGGCAGATACTCTCCTTTTATGTTGGACATACTGCCTTCACTCTACTAGGGTTATTTAAAAGCCTTGGTAAAATAAACAAGTTAAGACACAAATGTTCTATACCTGCAGAATGTCATAAATGTTACAGAATGTGAAACTTCAAGTCAAGACTTTGTAAGACTAAAACAGTCATGTCCAACCATCACCATCATCATCACTATTATTATTATTATTATTATTATTTCTTCTAAGAGAGAAAAAGTGAATGAAATACTCATTTGCCTCCCAGGAAGGCAAATATTTTTAGAGGGCTTCAAAGTAGCAGGGAGCTTAGTTAATGGTGAGGAAAGTTGGGCTACATTGTGATAGCAATAACATCTAAGTGATAGCCAGGGAGGGGCTCCTCCCACTCATTCCTGTATCCTGCTTCAGATATTAACAACTGAGATGACTCTTTGCTGACATATTTGCAGTGGCAACCAAAGGCCATGGTACTTTAGCCTGTGCCCACCAATCAGTTAGCTAACTACTACTCATGTTCTCCTGTAACACCAGCAGAATGTTATTATTTTCCTACACCCCCCCAAAAAAAATAATTTTATGTCACAAGGAAAAGCTTTAATTGTGTGGCTAGAGTTTTGGCATTAAAATACTGTCTACATTTAAAGAATTGTATTTATTATCAATAATTA